CTCACCTTTTTCAGAACAGGGCGTTACATGCGATAATTGTGCAGCACACTTGTTTGGGATGGGGGCGTAGAAACAGGTTTGGTGTGCAATTCAGGTTGGAAGTGCGCCTCACTGGATTAGTGTTGTTTACCTCAGGTCCTGCTGTAATCGCTCTGGTTGCTAGCAAGTCATATTGAGAAGACTTAAGGGAAATTTTGATTCTGCATTCAATTACGGGGCTTAATTGCTCTACAAAACATCGCGCATTGTACAAATACACAAGAGTAGTGGTTTTACGCTCACATGCTTGCATATCAAAAAGAAGATTGCATTCCAAAGGAAGCAGTCTCCTTTGGAGACTGAGAATAAGAGGCTTTAAAAGATCTTTGGCTTGAATGAAAATGCCTTCTTTTTGGAGCCTAGCCCACATCCCTAGGTATAAAGTCCAGTAGGACTTCGTGAGAACATCTAACAACAAAACCATGTCCTTTCTCCAAGCTGGGGGACTGCTCTAGATTCTACGTCGGAGTGCTACTCCTGCCTTGATAAAAACAGAAATGAGTATCCAGAAGCTCTATTTGCCAAATCAAAATGCTATTTGTTTGCAGAGGAAGAAATGAACCAACATTCATTGATCCCACAAAAAAGATAATTCTGTTCAGTGCTAGGATGTCAAAGGAAATTGCCTTGATCTTATCAGAACACCTCAGTGATAAAAAGGCTACTAATTTGCTAGTGTTCTATCAGTGTCCATACAGCATAAAGGCACTAGTGCTGGCACGTAGTAACAGAATGAAATACAGTAGTCTAATTCTCTGATTTTACAGCGAGGCAATTATTTTCTCCTGCGTCTTCTAAAGAAACACTTATTACATGAAATGGAAAAAAAAAAAGGAAAAGCCACATATCCCAGCATGGCTTTTTGCCCTTAACATAGCTTTCTGATGTCGTCTTTGGGTTGACAAAATAGTTTCAACATTTCAAGTGTGTATCTTACGATACTTTACCCTTCTCCTCAGCTTCAATGCTATTCACAGCAATTAGATTACCTAATCAGTATATGTGCTTTGAATCAAGAGGAATTCAGAAAAGCTAGTGCCACGAGATTTACCCCCTCTTTTTGCTTAGGATTTTCTGTCTTAAGAGATTGACATTAACTTGGACTATAATGAAAGGTGAATTTTAAATTACCTGTTTTTTTCCGAAAGTTTGGTGGACTGAAACTGTTTACAGTTCTTGATACTCCAACAGTTCAGTACCATCTACTCAGTGCTTTCCTATTTAGCCAGTCTTACTGGATCAAGTTACTTTTAAAACTTTCACAGCAAGAAATTTACTTTTTAAACTTATACCAGCAGTGAATCAGATTCTAGTGCACTGAAAAAGTATAACAATACAGTTTTATTTTTCTGATACTTATTTTTCCATTTCCAACAGTTTCTTGAGTCCCATTTTCAATAAAAGCAATGAGTAATTCCATACCAAGTTTTCATAATCTATCTTCGTAAATGGCATTGCACACACAGGACAAGAACTATTCAGCTCTGTCCAAAATTACAGTTCTTTCTATGTGCACAGGGAAATCCATTGTGAAAACACGACGAGCAGTTCATAATATTTTTTGTAAAATTAAAATAAGCTCTAAGTACAATATATACATTCCTGTTTTAAAGGCATCTATAATATTTTTTATCATCTTCATTATTGTAATGCCTAGGGAGCGATCAAGCATGGGATCCTGAACTTGCCACATCACACCAAAATCAACAAAAGGCTGCCTGTGCTCTTGCTTTCTGCTATGCCTGGGGACGTAGATCTCTTTTTTTGCCAGATCAACTCCCTGAACTAGCCCTCTGCAAGGTCACACGGATGCCAGTGCCCAGGACAGAAAGGAAGTGCAGAATTCCTGAAAATGGGATTTGTGAGAAGCAGGCAAGTGGGACTACTGTAGCACCAATTTAGTTTGGTTTACACTGCTGTGAAACTGCAATTTGCAGGTGTGGTTCCTCAGTCAGTTTATACCTGTCTAAATCCTGCAGCCAAATGAAGGGAGTACCTCACTTTCCTGCAGTCTCACCCTTCCCCAGCGTCAGGACTAATGAGGTAAGCGAGACAGCCAGACTGTGCCATCTTGAAACTAAGTTGAGCTTTCATGACACAACAGCTGTCATCAGAAGAGGTCCCACCAGCCCTCGTCTGCCCCCTTCTAGCTTCTGGCTGTCTGTTGCTACTTTCTCTGCGCTGATTCTGGCACTTGCTTAACCCCAGAGTGAGGCAATTTAGGAATCCGAATCAGCAAAAAGCTAATTCTGTGGTAAAGAAAGGGAGAAAAATAAAGAAAAATAAAGAAAAATTATCTCCCTGATTTTTTTACATGAAGGCAAATAAACACCAGCTCTGGTATAAGAAAGGGAAGGATTGTATACATGACAGCCGGGGAAGAAAAGGACCGCCTGTATCAACAGCAGCTTGCAGTCTAGAGTAACATGAATCCTCCTAGTATCAGAGGGACAGCAGGCAAACATCCCTGTCCACTGCCACTGACAGGGACCATTACACTTCCCATCTCCCGAGTCCCATGCTTCTGCCCTTAGGACCTGTGAGCCAGCCTGTGTGTCACTGATACCAACTCTGTCATTTAGCCCATTATATCAACCCAAAGTGGTCAAGTGAGCGCAGGACCCGGCACAGGGGACAAGACTAGGCGCAAGCAGAACAGTTTGGGTGTGAGGAGAGAGAAAGTGACCTCCTCTCCTTTCCTTTCCCTCCATGTGAAAACCACAATCGTACTTTCAGAGGCCTGAGAGGCCACACAAACACGCTGCTCGGACAAGGTGGAGGGAGGGAGCAGGACAGGACCACCTCTCCCCTTTCTAACATCAGGGGGGTTTGGACCAGTTTAAACCGACCCTGAAACAACAGCTCAAGTCACAGTCCCTGCACTAAAAGGTCTCTGTTTTAAATAAAGTCGATTCCTGGCAGTCTGCACGTGTGTTAGCCACACTGCAGTGTTAACCGCACCCTGCGTACCGACTTGGCTCCCCGGGGGTCTCTCCACCTTAAACCAGGGCAGAGTGAAAGAGGCTGCAGGGCACCGCTTGACAAAGTCGGAAAAGCACTGGAAAGACAGCAGCTTCATTTCCCCCTCCGCACACCTCTCTGCCTGCTGCAGTGGGGCTCTCTGCCCGTTTCACCGTCCCACGGAGCTCCGCCTTTCGCACCGCTCATTCTCACACAGCTCCCCTCCCTTTCCCCTTCGCCGCGGTAAGGAGAGGCAGGCAGCAGCCACGCTGAGGCATCCGG